CGACGCATGCATGCCCCCTAATCACCACCACGTCTCACTTTCTTCCTTGTAAAGCATCGCCTCGCTGCCCAAATCCATTGACATCTTTAACCTGCATCTCCACCTTCCCTTCTGTAATCCTCTGGTCACCATGCCCTACCTTGTTGGAGGCCAAACCTGTCAAGAAATTGGTGCGGCAACCTCGTTAACATCTCATCTCATATGGTCCCAAAACACACTCTGAGAGAGAGAGAGAGAGAGAGAGAGAGAGAGATGGAGTTGGTTGTGGAGATCCTGACAGGGAGGTTCTTCCATGTTGAGGTGGAGGACGACGCAACCGTGGGGAGTCTGAAGAAAGCCATCGCGAGCAAGGAGATGTTTCAGGAGCAGAGGCTGGTGCTGATGCTGAGCAATGGCCGGCTGCTGCGGGATGATCAGTGCGCCCTTGCCGAGTGTGGCGTCGTTGATGGCTCCATCATCTACCTCTTCTTTACGTCGGTTGGGAACCCTAACTGGCTCACCTTCTTTGAGGACTTCGTGACCTTCTTTGTAAGGGATTGTTGACGGCTTTGGCACTTCATGTGCCCCGATCTTTCTTCTATCTATCTCATATACTCTGCCTCTTCTGATCTAGAATTTCCACTCCGACTGGGAATCTAAGAAACATGTAGAGAGTAACAGGGAAATCATGATCTTATGACCAAATCCTACTCCACATTCTTACTGCTTGCACCATGTACGTGGTCAACCCCATATTGGAATTCCTTCCTTCCTTGCTTCCTTCCCATGAACAACGGGCAAATCGAAGACGGCTTGACTTGCTCATCTTGCAGGTGGATATGCTTCGTTCGACACGACCAGATTAGCATGGAATTCTATTTTGATAGGGTTGCACTCTGGACTTGCAACCTATGTTTCTTATGCATATGTTATGATTTATGGCTGTTAATTAGAATGTTGCTCCGAGATCTGATTTCTAAAATATGCCCCACCTTGAAGTCAGCCTTAAGATGTTCAGAGGTTTGTGTTTTCGATCGGACAGAGCATCGTAAAAAATTTCTCCTGCACGGAGGGAGGCATATGTTTCATGTAAAGATAAAAATGATAATAAAATTAGCATTTCGACTTCAAAATTCTAAATCTTATCAGAAACCCTTACGATAACAGTGATGTTCACCATCAATGATTTAGTTACCTGTCTTTTTTCTTTTTTTTATGGCTACAATAATTGGAACGTTTCATAAGATTCCAAGTGACAAAAATTCTTTATCTCACGAGACATAGTTTGATCAGTCGCAAGTGTGAAGAGTCTACAATACGTATTGGTTCACCGGAGATCTATGTAGGAGTTCTGAATCCCCTCACAGCATCGCTGGAATCAAACTAGCTAGTTGTGACCACAAGGATTGGCTCTCTTGTTCCTCTTGCTGTTGCTCCCTTTGCTTCTCAGGCTCTGCAGAAGCGCAAGGCCCGAGTGTTGGGTTCTACAACAAGACGTGTACCAACGCGGAAGCGATTGTGTTTGGTGTGAGATGACCAAAGTCATCAAAAGCGCCGCCGAGTCTCTCTCTTTGGCGCTCTGTTGAGGATGCATTTCCCTGATTGTTTTGTGAGGGCGAGTTCCTAATTTAAATGTGAACATATCTCTACCTATTCATCTACACCGCTCGAGCGAGGCTTGCTTGCTTGCTTGCTTGCTTGTGGATGCATGCATGCAGGGATGCGCCGCTTCAGTTCTACTATATTCTGCCAACTGAAATGAAACTGAGAAGGATGCAGATCCAAATAAAACTCCCAGAGGGTTTGGCGTGATCGATAGGGTGAAGGAGGATAAGGCCTGCCCGTGGACCGTCCTGGCTCTGGTTGCCAGGGACGTCGTAGTTCTGGTAAGAGCAACACCTGAATAAAGTCTCTCTCTCTCTCTCTCTCTCTCTCTCTCTCTCTCTCTCTCTCTCTACGTATCAGAACACATAATGAATCGCCCTAGAGAAAGAGAGATCATACCTTGATATCAGAGCAAAGGCCCTTCATGGGCTGTACCGACTGGCCGAAGAGATGGCACTGTATCAATCAGAAACGAGAGTGCCTCGCAACTTCCACCACCATTTCCCGGAATTTCTATGTTGATCGACATGTTTAAAGCCGAGGGATTAATCCTGCAGGACCTTGTAGTTCTATCAGGTGAGCTTGGTTGTAGATTTGACGCTTCTTTCTGGATCTCATTCGAAGCTATTCCAATTAAGTTAATGCTCTTAATTTGCTGACCTGTTCCTCACTTTCCAGCTCTGATCCTGCCAACGACGCAGCGAGGTTCGTCGTTCCTGAAGATGGATCCCGGGAGCTTCACTACGTTCGACACAGGCTACTTACTACTAGCAGCTGTAGAAGCGAGGGGCGCTGTTCATCTCTGACGCGGCTCTTCTGCAGGACTCACAGGCGAGAGCTCATGTGCTACGCCATGCGGGTGGATTTGCTTCCGAGTTCTTCGACGACTTCGTGGACGCCACGGTCAAGTTGGGGAACATTCATGTCCTCACGGGTGCGGTGAAACATGTTATGGTGTTAACTAGATCGACTAGTATGTCAGTCGGTGTTCGGAGGCATATATTATATGCTGCTTTCCTTGTCTTTTTGTTGTTGGCACCCAAAGAGTCGTGATGCTTTGTTTTATTTTGAGAAGAATGGTGGAGCTCCACAAACCACTGTATTGAAGAATAAAGTTCAATCTTTTTTATCTTTCTCATCTCTCCACTCCTTTTGAACTGGGCCTCTGCTCTGGTCTGCTCCATCAACATTTGCCTCAAGGATCATAGACTTGTAGCTCTATCAAGCGATTCAAGATTGATCAGATTCCCAATACAACTCAAAAATCAATTTCTCCGTATCCATACATACATACATACATATATACATACGTATATTCTCAAAACAAGTAATTCTTTAGCATCAGTCTAAGAAGAAATGCCAATGCTTTCACTGTAATGAGATGAATTATAATTTCATCTTTACAACCACCAGAACTTAATATAAAGAGTGCCAAAATCACACTACCAAAGATGAACATACAGGATTTGTTCAATTTAGGGCAGAAGCAGAAGAGGACACATCTACCGGACCAATCAATTGTAGGAGCATCAGGCCAATCCCCACCAAATACCAATTTCTGCCAATATGATCTGCAAAATATTCAAAGTTCAAACACTTGCAGACTTCAGTGAGGAACAAGCCAAAAATTCGACAAGAAGATCAAAGTCAATCGGAAAAAAACCAAGCGTTTTGTTAAGGTACGCAGCATCACTCTAATCTAATATTCTCAGAAAGTGGAGGTGGAGAAGAAATGGGGAAATGCATCAAGCCATTCGAGGACCACGAAGCCTATGGCCAAGACTGCAATGCATTGAACCAAGCCACAGTCGATCGACATCGAGTGCATTCCAACTCTTGATAAACAATAAAAGTAATTTGCAAAAAAGAGAAACCTTTCAAGACGTGTAATGATGACCGAGAGAAACCACTTCATCCTATGAATCATACGCCTACTTGCAAAAGTTAGTGAACTGACTTTTAGGACATGTTAAATGTGAAGTTAGACAAACTCATGTTCTTTGCATGACCTCTCATTAGCAGACCACAGGATTAGCCACAAAGTAAAATATAACAAATTGAAATTTTGTGCTAGATTACTCAACATAATTTGCATCGGTAGAAACTACACCGTACAGAAAACTACAGATCAGATCACCTTGGATGTCCAATGCCATTGTCCCAATTCCGGTGGCCTTGATGGGATTTGGTCCTCGATACATGGCTGGTTGAAGATGCCTGGTGCTGAGAAATCCTGCATTAAAAGGGAAAGAAGAACTCAATCAAAACGTGTAATATCTTAAACACAAATCATGGATGAAATTATTCAGGTAAATGGAGGGGCAGTTTTCACTTGTTACACAATAAAGTAAAACACATTCCAATGCAACATACCAATGATTCAAATTCTTTCTTTACAAATTCGTGCCACATTACACCAGGTCTTGCTTTTTATGAGAACACATTATACCAAATCTTTGTATATGGTACTTTTAAAACATAACAACATTGTAGCCCAAGAAACTCAAACTTCTTGCAACTGCAAGTCACAGAACCATATAGGTAATCAAATTTCACCAAAATTTTCTTGAAGTTTCTCTTCAACAGTTACCCTGTCTTCAGATATTGTCCCAACTAGGCCGCAACTATGTACAATAGAATCCATGTATAGTTCAGATTCCCTTTAGAACATTTTGTATGCAGCAGGAGCGTAAGCATTTGCAGCTTGCTAAAACATACACATAGAAGGTGCCATTTTTGTGCTCGTATCAGCACTAATATCAACCTGAAGCTCCGCTCCGCATGTCTTCTCTCAAATAATATTCTCTCATAACTCCCAAACAAGTTTGGTAAATCAACATGATGCTTAAAGAGAATATTTGCTCATTAAACTAGCAGTTATAAAACTATATTTTATAAAACAATCTCTTCAGTGAACTAATATTGAGCTCCTTGTGAGCTTTTTACCCTCGCAACAACGGAATATACGCACGCCCGACTTAATCTTTTGTAAGAAGAGATTGAAACGGGATATGTATAACCAGAAACAAACATTTTTTTTATCCATAAAAGAAATTCTCAGTCATCGAATCATGACTTCTATGTCGCATCGTCTTAATAAAAACTTCTTCCCCTCTCCCAACAACATTGTCTCGCAGATCAACTTTGCCACTTCAGATTGAAAACCAAAATTGACCTTATCATCTTCCATTAACAACAGCGATAACAACAGTAGAGCGATCAAAAAACCCAAGCTCCTGTTAACGATCAGCACGTCCATACAAGTCCACGACAAGAATAAGAACCCTGCCACCCAGAAAGAGGGCAAATGGAAATGGATCTATTCACAGAGGATATCAAGATACCTCGAGAGAGAAGCAAACGGAGGAGGAAGCGGCGGCGCGTCGCCGGTACCGGTGTTGGCGAGGTGAGAGGGGAGGAGGGGCCTCCTATTGGGGTTTGGTTGGGGACAGAGTTCGGTTAGAGGACGGTGTTGGAAGCGGGCTGGCGGGTTTGGGTATAAATTTGGCTGTTTCCAACACGGGTCGGATTCATCTAGGATCCCATGCTTCATCCGGATCCAAGCTAAAAAAGGGCCAAAAAGTAATATTATATAGGCTCGGCCCATCTCTAGCCGTACACTTGGACACGAAGCCCATCCACGTCCAATTTTATCTATGTCTATCTTCTTTCCACCCATCCACCGACCTCAGTGTCCCCATCATCCGTCGTCCATCATATGACCACCAAGAAAGGAAGAGCAGCAAAACAAAAAAGACACACCACCCTCGCTCGCTCTTTCTTCTCGTGTGTATCGCAAGGAATCCAAGGCAGAAGGAGAGGAGGGAACGAGAGAGGGAGGGAGACGGAAGGGTGGAGATGTCGAAGAAGAAGTCTTCTTTCAGCGGATCGACAACGATGACGCTTAAGGACTTCCATGGCGGCTCCATCCCTTCCCAGCTCCCCCTCCCCTCCGCCCCCAGTGCCAGCGCCAGCGCGTACTCCACTACTTTCTTTACTGTCCTCTTTTCTTCAGTTTGATTTCAACGCTAATCTTTCTTCGTTCATTCATTCTTTCTTCTTCTTCTTCCCTTTTGTTTCTGCAGCTCCGCCAGGCAGTCCGATCGACCCGGCGCCTGGGGTACCATCACCGCCGTTGCCTCCGGTAGGTCCGACTACCACCACCATCTTCTCCGTCCGCGACCCGGATCCGCGGGCGCCGCCTCTTCATCCGCTCGAGGCCTCGACGAGAGGCCCCCCGCCCTCCTCCCCCATTCGACCCCCAACGGCGGGCACTTTGACGAGGACGAGCGCAAGCCCTTCGACGCCTCGTCTGCACCTCGCCGCTCCCCTGCCGCCCCTGACAACACTCTCCGCACGCCTCCGCCCACCAGATCTGACACTAAGCGACCCATCTCTAGCCAAGTGGTCCCGTCTCCTGCCACCGTTCCTGTCCCTGTCTCCGCGTTTTCTCCCCCCTCCGGCAACCCTGGCTCCGCTTCATCTGCTTGGGGCCAGAGGAAGGAGGTAGGAACTGAACCGCCACCTCCGTTGCCAACTCAACCCAAAGCCACGATGTGGTCCGCTTCAAGGCTTGCGCAGGCCAGCGCGGTTGAGAAGGTGTCATCGGGCAGGTGGCAACCGAGGCCTCCCGAAGGCGAGGCCATCAGATCACAGGAATCCGAAGGTTTGGATCGGAGGATTGGAGAGGCGAATCGGGTTATGGATGACGTCTATCGGGATCGTCAGACGGAGAGGCCGAGATCAGTCTCGTCGCTTGTGGCCTACGCAGAAGTCAAGGAGACGACTTTACCAGGATATCATACGGATAGGGAAAGCGATCAGGAGAGGGCAAGATCTCCAGTGTATCCTGAGATGGAGAAGAATGTAGTGGGCTTCTCTAGCGAAGGGATTTCTCGGCCAGGTTCCAGTGATGGGAGATTTGGTGGGTCAAACTTATATCAGCAAGGCGTGATGGAGGTATTGGAGCGTCCGAAACTTACCCTTCTTCCAAGGAGGAAACCGCTGGAATCTCCAGACATTCACGCTAGAGGTTTTGATAGCAAGCAGGTATACTGATCTTCTTCGTCTTGAATTTTTAGCATTTTCTATCAATCGTCCTGTTGCTGGGTATTTTCCAGCTCTTTGGCTGTACCTTGTGGCTTACATTTGGGCACTCTTGTAGGTGTATCAGACATCTGTTAGCTTGGTGCAAGTTAAGAATGTCCATGAAATGCATGGAAGTACAAATCTGCCGCGACCAGGGCCTGCTTGTGCAGAAGAGGGGAGTCGAGCAGCTGAGCGTCCCAGATTGAACCTAAGGCCTCGTACTCAGCCTATTGAGCAGTCAGATGGGAATGCTGATAGGGGGAGGTCAGAAATCTCATTAATTGCCAATCTTCTGACCCTTTAATTTCTCTATTAGGATGATTTACTACTAAATAATGAATAATCTTTTTGGGAATTCAGCATTCGGGTCATATTGTCGTTCTATATTTGGCTTGTAACCCTGTCCTATCAATATCTGGTTTATTTACACATCTTCAGGGAGCCTTGGTCGGTTTCTTTTTCAATTGCTATTTATTTGAACAAATCTAGATTACTTTCCTTTTGGATGTTTTTACTCAGCTGGTAACCTTCGTGCAATTCATGTGATGGATCAGTTGATAAATACATTTATATGAATGGGGGAAAGCTGAACAGATTACGACAGTAGATGTAGGGGCATTGGATATTAGGTTTTCCAAAAGGTGAAATAATTAATACAACAGTGGTTATTCGAAGAGTTTATGGAGTTGTTCTGTTTTTTGATGTTCCATGACTTGGCATAGCCAAACACATTGTTCCCTTGTATTGAGAGACAAGATCTCAAAACATCAATATTGTATGGAGATGGAGCACCTTTTTTATATTTGCTCATGCATTCATATCAATTAAGTACATTATTTGAGGATATATATATGTTGATTCCGTACTAGTTTCATAATCATTTTAACATCCATTCAACTCATAATTCCTTTTTTTCTTTGTATCTACCATTTAATTATTGCTGTCTGGTGTTCCTTTTGTTTTTTCATCTACATTATCTACAATTACATTAATATGTGTTGTGAAGCCAAGTTTCTCTACCCAGTTTCATGAGATTTATCCAACTTCTAAGTGAAAATAAATATATTTGATCACAATTATTATCCCACTTTAACTAATTACATGTTTGTCTCTTCTTAAAAAATATGTAATAGCAATTATAGGACAAGAAAATATGGCAAAATGCTAGATAACACCTCCTATTTTTTATCTTTATCATATCTATAATCTTACATAACCTTTATTTTTTTGGGCCTATGTGATTGCTTGTCACCTATTATAAATTTTACTTCAATTATATTGAATTTTTATTTAAATTTTTTTATCCTAGCTCCTTGTCCCTAAAACTACTTTTGATTCACTTAATGTTGTGGTTTGTCAGTTACAGTTTGTATCTCACTCCTTTATTTTCTGTCTATCTTATTCTAAATTTTATGTTTGCTTATTGATCTTCCCATTGTTACAAAAATCACGAGCCGAATTGGTTGAGCGGGATTGGGATCAACCCCTGATCATCCAAATTATCCTCTTTCCTTGGGCATCTTGAAAGATTGGTGAAAAATTGATCGGTGCTAATCAATATTGGGGAAAAGAATGATGATTCAAGTTGATTCCGGTTTGCAATTTGACATGAATTCCATTTGGAAGAATAAATAATACGAAGAAGAAAAGGAAGATAAGAGAGAGAGAGAGAGAGAGAAGAAGAGATCAGAGGAATTGCATTGGTTTTCTAGTTATCATTCATTGCTGTTATCATTGTTCATCTTTGTTGTCTCAACAATTGCTACCACTAGTAGCTCCAATGAATTACCCTCTGCAGCTCTGCCCTCTTGGTGAGGGCGTTGAAGGGATAGATAAGAATTAGAAAGATTTTTTTTTATCTTTTCTTCTTGTAATTTATTTATATATTTTTTAATTATAAATTAGAATTAATATATGATATATTAATTTATATTATTATAAATTATTAACTTATAAAGTATCACTTGAGTATAATTTGCACTAAATATATAATATATAAATATTATGTAAAAAACTTTAAAGGCAAACTTAGTGCACGATTAGTGCACGAGGTTGCCATCAATAGAGGAGTAATGCAACCTTTCTTCTCGTGACTTAAACCTTGATCTCTCATATCTCAAAAGAGCAATGTACCGAGGCTTGTTATTTTAAATTATAATAAAATTTAATATTTATAACACAAACATATAGAAACTTATAATCTGTATATTAATCTTTAAGTTATAACTACTTATCTGTATATATAATTAAGTATCAAAATGTTAGAGAAATGTTATAATTAAAATTTTAAGAAAATATTAATAAATTAAAACGCATTAGATAAGATATGTTAGCAACTCTGTTAATTTTTCTTTCTTTCATATTTTATTGTGTTGTATCCTTTTTTGAATTTTAAATTCTTTTCTTTGCTGATTCAATTCCTACTGATAAGACGTGGCTGGTATAGCCACACGTATCACCATGGCCCAATTCTAATCTTGATTTTGATTTGCAAACTATGGATTTCATATGGGGTAATGTAGACTCTAAATTTTCACATCATTTTAGAAGTTCTTGGTGACTGAATTTAGAAGACTGAGAATTCTAAATGTGGAAGCCAAGTGAATTTTTTAAGAAGTCTTACCAAAGATGAGCTTCATTGTAAAATGTTTGCAATAGTTCTCATTATTATAGAGATTATTTTATATCAGCTTAAAATTTGGTGCATATTGTGCTGACATTTGTGTAATAGTTGACTTCTCATTTTCGTGATCTCTCGATGTTTTTTTCCTAATATACTGTGGATTATGTTTATTGGGGCTAGGAACTTTTCCCTGAGAAAATTCCACCTCATGAAATTTCAGAAAAAAAACCTGATTGTGCTTCACTATTTGAGCAGAGCTGTCACTTCATCTGTCTATTCCCATGCATCCATTGTTCTTAGTCCTTTTTAACCATGCCTGATTCCTCTACTTCAATAGATTTTTTTTCCACAAGGACTAGTGGGGATATGAGTCTTCTTTTTCCAACTCAAATCCAATTGTATCTCTTCTTGGCTTGGTTTGCTTTGATAAATCACATCATCCTTTTCCAAATAAAGGGTGGTCTGATGCTGGAGGCTTCCACAGATACAGGGTTAGCAGAAGGGCATTTGCTAAACGAAAAAATCATGTTGTTCAAATTACTAAAGTTTTAGCAGCTGGGAGCATTTATTTAGTCCTAGTGCCTTGAAGAACAGCTTTTTTACTGATCTAATTACTCATACGTACATGTCTGACTCCGGTCTGAACTCTGCTTCATATATCCAGATAAGTTCTACGACTCATGTATTTGGTCTTACCGAACTCTTGTTGTGTTCTCCTTTTTTAGGTTATGCTTGTATATTTGTACATGCATATATTTCTCTTTTATGTCACTACTCTTAAGATTTTTGTTATTCTCAAATTAGTTTCCAAAGACATACTGATGTTCTATATTTCCTAATTGCTCCATGCATCATTGCTCTTTAGGTACTGCATCTTTTGTTTTGTTGATTGGGTTATATGTACTAGTTGTTAGGTAAAACAGATATGCAAAGGCAAAGTTTTGTTGTAGCTTTACAATTATATAATATATGCCTTTTTATTTATTTCTCATTAAATTTTTTAATCCATTGGTACCCCTTGATGCAGAGGAAAAATATTGCTGTAGCTATACACTCAAGAAAATGTGCCCTTTTATTTCCCATTCATTGCACACTTAAACATTTTAACTGCTGTACTGTATGATTTTTCTCCAAACAATATGGTTGGTGGTGATATTTGCTTAAGAACCATGCATTTTTCTGTTGTAGGCAAACTGTGTTTGGCGGAGCTCGGCCACGAGAACTGGTAAGTGATTATCCTCATAAAGCCCTTCTTAAGCCCAGTGCATGGGTAATTCCTTGTTGCTGGCAACATTGGATTTTGCTTTTGGGTGTATAGCTGATATTGATAATCTTGCAGATCTTGAAGGAGCGTGGAATAGATGTCGCATCTAATGATCTTGAGATGACCACACCACCCAACAGGTAGCAGTTGTTTCTGATGAATTTTTCCTTGTTGCTTGTTTCGCCAAATTTAATGTAGATGTACTGACTTGTTCAGAGAATAGACTACAATTTTAATCAACTTATGATGACTCTTAGTTTCTGGGACACCATATCGGTGGGACTTTTGTTATAAGCTAAGAAACAAAACATTTTTATGAAGAATCAGGCAGGTTGATAAGCTCAACTTTATTTTTAATCATCTTCTCCAATCTCTTTCCTGATATTGATTTTTCATGTGTCACTGATTAGTCTTGTAAGTTGGAACTTGCTTGTATGGAATCAGGCAAGATCAAGAAATTGTCAATATCAGAGTTTGCTATGTCATAGCACAGAAACTCTTAAGTATAGCTACATGAACGAAAACCATTCTTCTGCTTTGATTGTTTATGGAGACAATGAAATATCAAAAGTAAGCTTCATAATCTTGAAAAATAGCTGCCATTCTGTTGGAATTTATCAACGGTTAATATTTCTAATTTGTCATTTTATGTCTTGGTTACTTCAGATGGTGGCTGCATAGGAACTATAATTTCATCTCAATAAATTTATAATATTCTTTTAAGTGGTTCCATGGTCCTTTATTTTGTATTTTCTATCATTTATTTTCTTTAGATAGTATATTTTAAAATGAGATCATAGCCTAAGTTTTTTTGATTGTTTTGCAATATGTATTTTTTTGTTCATTTTATTAATTTAATTTTCCCATTATTTTGACTGAATATAAGGTGGTGACCTGGAAGTGAGTAGTGCAGCTACTTTACGAGTTTAGAAAGTTAAGACACCTTTCTGGAGTTACTTATCTTGTGTTCTACTGTCTTGTGTAAGGGCTAGGGATGACACTCCAAAGAATGATTCAAAGATTGAACCCAATGCAACCACCCAGTCTAGAGAAAGATCTGAGAGGCTTCCGCTCCCTGCTGGACAAAGGACCGAGAAGGATCTTGAGAGGAGAGGCTATCGGCCAGATTCTGAGAAAGTAGATCCACATAAGGGTTCATGGAGAAATGATTACCGGAAGAATAGTGGAGGGAATGAGAAACCACTTGAACAACCTCGCTCGGACACTCACACCTGGCGCAAACCTGTCGAGCAACCGAAACCTGATATCCAGGCACTTCGATCTGGGAAAGCAGCCTCTGCAATGGAGCTTGCACAAGCATTTTCAAGGTCTGTGTCTGATGCCAAGCTGGAGAACGACTTTACTACCCTGAGGAGCACTCCTGGTCAGACTCAGCCTCCATTTTCACGCCTAACAAATACCAGGGAGCTGTACTCAGGGCCAGCTCAGAGGCAGATCAATGGTTACTGATCAATTCATCAACTCGAATTGGTACTAGAGAAGTTTAACCTTTTGGAATGGTTGCAGTTTGGTTAACTGTGGTCTCTGCACTCACATTGTCTTCAATGCCTCTTTTTCATTTTGCTGGGGCAATCTGGTGGCGTCATCTGATGAGAAGGTAGATATTATCTGCAACGTCCCAATGACCAGAAAAGGTTATTTGAAATATAGTGAGTGATGGTTAAGAAGTCATCCTGCGGGGATCTTCTATTTATTTATTTCTGTTTAATGACTAGCATATTTTTAGGAGTAACAATCGGGAAACTGCAGTTGTTCCAAGGTGGAAGTTTATACATTCCTTTGAAGTTGATTTCAGGTTGAAGTAATAATATATTTGCCAGGTGCACTTGTAACCTTAAAACTGTAAAATGATAGATTACTTACTCTGGTGCTGGATGCCAATTTATGGAAGTCCACCATTAGTGATCCCAAATTCCTTTGAACACGCATGATGTTGTGTTTCCAGCTAAGCTAATTTTTTGCTTCATCATCCGTGGGATACATGACGACGTGTCTTTTATTCTGGTGAGATGTCTGCCAATTAAAACCAAAGGTATGCTATTTTATTGCTGGAATTGTCAGTTTTAATTTGTTGGCCTTCGATGCTTGATCCATGTATATATAGTTTGGTCAGTCAATTAATCGGGTCATTAATGACCTATGAAATGATACTTTTTGGAACATTTTGAAATGAAAGCACTTGAATCACTTTCCAAATAATAGGAAGATAAATGAATATCACATAACTCAAGTGATGAGGAGAATGATGAACTTGAAATTCGAACACTAAATCTTAATAAGTTTATTAAATAAAAATCTAAAATAAACACTGAACTTGAACGAAGGAAGATGTCAAAGAAGAGAAAGGTAACCAAGGATGAATCAAGAACTTCCAAAGGTGAAACGGTGAATTGAACTTTGACGGACTTCGACTATAAGGCAAATAACTCAACTCTCTTGAATTATTTTAAAATTACTTGAAGTTTTTCATGAGTGCTTAATTTAGATAGTAGGAATAGAAAATAAAAAATTATTTTTAAAAATTATATCATGTTTTTCTTTTTAGCATCTTTGAAAAATTAAAAATTTGATCATGAAAAGTATATTGCTAAGGTTTCATGCATGTTATGTTTTGAAATGTTGAATGATGTATGCAACATTAGGGATTTAGGTTGAACATTTGAAAGTCTAAAACGCGTGCAATTAAGAGGTAGGCATTGGGAATTATGGTGGAATTGCATTTAGTAAGTGGGTTGTACCAAACTAATGGGTTCAAAATGTTTTTGAAGTTATATGCAATGTTAATCGATTGTTTTAACTCACCATATCAAACTCATTTCCTGCAGCCCACTCTGTCCCTCGATTGTTTGAACTCTTCGATCATGTGTGACAATCACACGAGAAGCCGTATGGGCACTTTTCTTTTACATCAAAGTTCATGCGGCACGACTTCCATGGAGCAGAAGCGATGCAATGCAAATGGCAAATAACTCTGTTCGACATGCTGCTTTTTACATCAAGCTCATGCAGCACGAGTTGCGCTGCATCTATCTATAGACTTACCTTTGAATACCACGTCTATTATATGTATGATAGGTCCAACTCTACGTTGTTAGCTTCTGATTCCTCCCCGATTAGTTTAATCATCAGAAGTTGCCCTTGTTGTCATTTCTGTTTCGTCGATTTTCTCTGCTGAGTTTTTCCTCATGCAAACGTGCAAATGAGATTGCAGCTGTCATAGTGCGGAGTTGGCGAGTTTTGACTTCACACTGTATATCTGGATTAAGTCTTTCAATAAATGTTCCCACCAGTTATCGTTCGGACCAATATCTGACCTGATTTGATAATCGTTCAAATCTGCTATGATATTCTAACACTATAGAAATCTAACGAATTTTAGCGAGCTACCTATCAACATTCTCATATTCAGATGGTCCAAAGCGAACGAGAATCCCTCTCTTGAATTGCTCCCACGAGGGAACTCCATGGTAAGTTTCGTACCAATCATACTATTGTATTACATCTTCATTTAGTTAGATTGAAGCTATTTCTACCTTGGATTCTTCTGGAGTTATGTGAAAATGAAAAAAAAAATTTCTACTTTAGATATCCGGATCTCCATCTTCCCATCTTGAGAATTCCACCTTTATGCGTGGGTAACTTATGTCCTGTCCTTGGTTCCTTTTTCCTATATCTCTAGATTGGTTCAATATAAGACTTGAACTTTAATCTTGTTGAAAATTGCTAAAGCTCTCCAATATACTCTTTTTAAAATCGTTAAGGGTTTCTTATAACCGGTTCTCGATTCTGGTTTCCAAGATTTCTAATTGGGCTTTTATTGAGTTGTCGGCAGCCATTGCGTAAGACTACAGATCTATAATCTCCAACTCATATTTTTGGTGTCGGGTCAAGGGCATCAGTACTACACTATTCGGTGCGGTTGCTGTGAAGTTTGGTCCAAGGAAGCATTGAGGGCGTAAAGGAATGCGAAACTACCGAGGAAATGGACGCCGAGGGCAACGTAGAGGCTTGTTGTGGCCGCTGCAAGGAGGAAAGGTTGCTACCCTATTTTTGTTGCTACGTGGGGTGAGAGCGCCGAGGGATCACGAGCGATTGAGGCCTAAGGCTGTGGGGGCTGGAAGGTGGTGGCGTCGGCGTGGGGAGCAACTGAGGGTAGCTGCGCGTGTGGTTGCGGGTGCTGCAACCCAAGGGGAGTGATCGTCGAGCGATCAAGGTTGAGGCTATGAGGGTCGGAAGGCGACAATGTTGACGTGGGGAGCGATTGAGGGCGGTTGCGCATGTGACTACGGTTGCTAGACCCAAGGGGAGCAATCGTCGAGTGGTCGAGGTTAAGGCTACGGGGAATAGAAGGTGGTAGCGTCGACGTGAGGAGCGATTGAGGGGGTTGCAAATGTCGATCGCACACGACCGTTGTGTGCGCGGTCGGAGGGCGACTATGGTGGAAGGTTTGCTGTTGATGTCGGTAGCAAAAAGGAGAGGAAATAGTAGTGACCGATGGCTGCGGCAAAAGATGTAGAGTTCTCCTATTTCAATCGTCGCGAGGAGGGAAGGTTGCTGCCGAGGTCAAGAGGCAATAATATGGTGGCATGGCTAGGAGCAACATCACCAAGGGCTGGAAGCAACCAAGGATTATTGAGGCTAGGAGCGACGAGAGGGGTGGTCTACTAGCCGAGAATAGCAACGACGACCTTTTCTCGCTCGAGCAAGATGGGGCATGGCTGTCGGCTTCACCCCCTTTTTTCATTTTTGAGGTGATGATAGCTATGGCAAAGTGTTATGATAAATTATAACGAGAACTTCGAGGATCATTGCTCTGATACCAAATGATAAAACCCCTAGAGTTTTATCGTATAAGAAGAGGGAGAAAAGGAATGATCACTTTGAAGGGAAAAGAAACATATATATCCTTATTTATAGAGTTCCACCCAGAGTTCATTAGGACTTGGACTTTTAATAAATAAATAAATAAATATCAAATAAATCTATATCCGACTCTTATTGAACTAGACAAACTCAATAAAATATTATTCAGATCTCATAAACTAAAAGAATCCTAACAGTATATTTATTGTGTCAATCAAGCAAGAACATAGTTTTATTGTGCCAATCAAGCAAGAACAGAGATTTTATTTATATTTGTCAGCTTTTGAAGTTTCCATTTGTACTCATCTATCTCCAAGGCTGTATCACAAGCTGGTTTGTTAACAGTCGTTTTCCAGTATTACATGTTTAAGCATCGAACAAATAATAGTAATCGGTTACTTTTACAAATGGTTCCTTGTTTTGATGTTCGATGACTAAAAGTTTATTTCTGATTTATTCTGAATTGAGAGAGACAAATCTAATTAAAAAATTAAGCATCACATTTGTAGGCTTGGGGACCAGATGGAAGCAAAAAATCTTGACAAACAAGGAAAAATTAATATGGAATGTAAAAAATATGGTGGTGAAACAAACATTTCCTTTAAAAGAGTGCTTTGGATAAATGTTTGCAATTAATTTACAAAAAATAAAATGCTTTAGATTCCATTTCTTTTAATTAAGTAATGCTTATAGATCACGGATATTGTGTTTCCACAGGAAAATAATAATAATTTTTTATTTGTAACTAAGCATTTAAGGGACAAAACCAAAAAACGAAAGGAGGGAGGCAGGTAGAAATCACAAGACCTAGCTAGGAACCACTGATGATAGAAATCTCCCATCCTAGCAGCGAAAGGGAAATAGTTTTTACCTGCAAGGCAAACTGCTGTGGAAGCAGAAATCCCTAAGATGCAGGAGGAAAATATAATTTGTCTAAATGACATGGGTTAAGATGTTGTCATGGTATGTATGTATATGGAATCTCACAAGTCTTAGGCAATATCATAAACCAAAAATAATTCAAATAAAGGTTTCACAATTATGCCTTGGTGGCCAATTTGTTGTGGGGGTTTGATCACTGAACATTATAATTAATAACCATTGTCAATCCTCTGAATCATGTTATCTTTTATTTTTATTTTTTTCTTTTCTGTTACTGTGGTGGGTCACAAACGACTAACAAAATAAGCACCATTGGAATGGCCATTTCATTTCTTTCAAAGATTGAATTAAGTCAAAAGAAAGAATGCTGTTGATTTTTTCTAATCCAAGAAATCTCAAATCTAACTAAGCTGTTATATTGAAAAACTACGATACGAGTAAAAAGAATCATTTCGATTCAAAAAAACTGATGTAGTATTTAAAACAAGATTGACACTTACAAAATATTCTAAGTGTATTCTCCTTCTCTATTATTTCATGAATTACGGTCTTATTTATAGGACCCGGTGATAACTACCCATATGATCTTGTCACTCATTGAAACTATCCGATAACATCTAGATCATGGTAACTATCTAGATAACATCTAGATCATGATAACTACTATGAATTCTCAATGATAAAAACATCAACATCAATAATTAAAGACATAGGATGGATGATCCGTCGTAGATCAAGAGAAAAAGCATTAATAGCCGCTAAATCAACAACTAATGCAGAATGAATGCAATGTCCATCACCAAGCAAGCGGTGGGGTGGAAAAAAAAGCCACACTCGTAAAAGGGAAGAGAAAACACGAACATAGATCGGCATGCAGAGAGGGGAAATACCTCTTTCATCTCCTCCAACATCCCATTTTGGCGACGCACCTCGTTCGACAAGTCTCGTCCTTATCAACAACAAGACCTGCCACCTCGATGTGGGATCTCGAAGCTCCTCCGATCCGGGCCGATTTGCTCTTCTTGGCCATCCGAAGCCCAAATCTGTTCGGCAGCAAAGGACGGCTTCGTCTCGCAGGAACCGAAGGGGATAAATCAGGTGACTTCGGGGAGATATTCTGGAGCTCAGCGATCTGAGGATGCCCTCGTCGTAGGCGACGCGGCGGCGGCGGACGGAGACCTGGTGGATGTGACAGCAGGAGCCACAGGAGTTCGTTTCCCGCGTGTTGCCTGAGGACGGCCTTTCGTTCGCCGATTCCTGCAGCGATCGTTGTGCGGCGGTGGTATGGAACGAAGAAGACGCCGTCGTCGCGCATTCGGCGTCTTCAACTAGACACGGCCCGGATATCCAAAGCAGGGCATCACCACGGATCCCCTCCTTCCGTAATCGTAGGAATGGTATGGTCCAACTGCGGCTCGCGCCTTTGTTCTGCGATGAGAATGCGGTTGGGCCCCACAGGTGGCGGGTGGGTCCCGCATCACTTCGGCCTTGATGTCGGCATTTGGACGGTTTTGGTTGAGAGGAATCCACCGACCAGCCTCGACCTCCTCGTCTCGTCTCGTCTCGTCTCTTGCCCTCTTTCGCCTCCGATGGAGAGGAGAGAGATGGAAATGGAAATGGAAATGGAAGTGGTAATGGAAAAGAAAGTGGAGCGGCTGCTGAACCGGGTGTCATTGGTCTTCGCCGCCATCGCCACCCTCGCCCTCCTCCACCTCTTCTCCCACTCCTCTCTCTCCTGCGCCCCCGCCCCTCTCCCCACCGCCCACCGCGCCCACGGCCGCAGCCAACCCCAGAACCCAAAACCAGCCCATTCCTCCCCCCGCTCGTCCTGCGACGCCGCCTCCCGTGAGGTCCTCACCCCCGATAAGCGCTTCGCCAAGCTCCGCTCCTCCCGCTCCTGGCGCCGACGCGCCGACGCCTATGCCGCCCTCTTCTCTAGCCTTCGCTCCCCCACCCTCCTCTCCAACGCCTCCCACGTCCTCTGTGTCTCCGCCGGCGCCGGCCACGAGGTCGCCGCCCTCCAGGAGTCCGGCGTATCGGACGTCACCGGCGTCGACCTCGTCGACTTCCCCCCGCTGGTTCGCCGCGCCGACCCGCACAACCTGCCCTTCTTTGATGACGTCTTCGATATCGCCTTCAGCGCTGGCCTAGCCGGAGCGTTGTTCCCCACCCGCTTCGTGGCCGAACTGGAGCGCACCGTCCGCCGGGGCGGGGCCGTCGTCCTTGCCGTGGACCGCCCGTCCTCCGCCCAGGAGGCGGAGGGGATCAAGGCCTTATTCAGAAGATCAACCCTTTTGGAGGCTAGGAATACAACCATGCTTGGATCTGAAATGACGCTGTTCATAATGAAAAATAATGGTAAAAAACGCTCGACTTGACGGTGGTTCGCTTTTATGCAACTGCATACTCTTTCATTGATTTAGATATATTAACGATGAAAGAGATTAGATCTGTAGATGTTTGTTTCTGTTGTATATAATGCATGCAAATCACTAACATGAGTGATTTGTTCATTTGAAAGAGAAAAGAGAAAGCTGCTTTTTATGTAAATTATGCTCAACTAGCTTACAATTTATTTATCATTCATATTCATTCACATTGTGTTTTGAATTAGTTTAACAAATTTCGAAACCTTGAAGTTGTAACAAGGATAAAGGCTTGTTGTCCTGTTGTAGCTGTGCTCTATTCTTTGATGCCTTCAAATGGCTAAGTTCTTGTATCTTTGACCCTTCATGATACTGAATAGCATAACCTAGAGTCTATTAACTAATGCATTCCATGACAACTGATGGGTATTGCTGGCACTGGACTAACAGATTTCTTGTTGAATGCAAGAACTTCCATATTTAGTTATTACCTCAAAACAGGATTTTGACAAAGAATCATTACATAATTGTCCCCTTTTTCTTGGCATGATTTCCAATATTCGACTTAATTAAGGCATTGTACAGGTTGTATATGGGACTTGCTCATGAGGACAACCACTCAAAATGGTACCAAACTCGCAAAAATTATATGATACTCAAAGTTCTAGATCCTAGCTAGGTTGGTTGTAGGGGGCATCGTTTACAGTTTCTATATATGGATGTATCTGGATGTCTTTTCCCTTGTTATTTTTGCTTTGTTTGTGTGTTCATGCTGGTTTGTTCTGGTTTAATTAGTATGATCTCTGTTGCACTGCTGATTTCTTGCTTAATTTCAAGTAGGATGGGCTGGTTGAGGCTGGCATCATTGTTCCTCCAAATAAGGATACTCTGTTTTTTTATTATAACTTTAGAATATAACTTTTAATGGCTCACAAAATGAGCATAATTTCTTAGATAATCAATCATATTTCTGAATAAGACTAGTTTCGGTATCCAGTTCTGGGATTTAGTATTGTTTCTGGACCAGACTGGTTGGATCAGATTGCCAAATTGGCATTTCAAGTAAAAAAAGGTTCAGTTCAAAATAATTCTAAAATGAAAATGAAAACATAATAAGAATGTTATACAACAACAACAACAACAACAAGGACACAAGTCCCAACTATTTGGGATTGGCCATGTGGATCTCTTATCGCCATTGAAATCTGACAAAAGTTATATGTTTAGTTAAGTTAAGAGAATTTAAGTCTTTATCTATAGTTTATAAAAAATGTTTTTAGGTCTTTGTTCTATCTTTTCTTGTACCACTAATAGTAATTATTTCATTTCTTCAAACTACTACATCCGTAGGTCTCCTAAGAACATTTTCATACCATCTTATCTCATTGTCTTTTATTTTATCCTTTATCAAAGTAATATCTAATTATTCATAAATATAAATATTTTTTTTATTTTTTGGTAACTCCACATATTCACCTCAACACTCTCACCACAGCAACACGCTTTTTGTATGTGTTGGTTCTTAACTAGTTTAACACAATCAATAAAGCATTATTGGTCTAACAGCAGTTTTATAAATTTTTTTTTTTAATCTCAAAGAAATCAGATGATCACACAAGACCTTGGATGCCTTCGTCATTTGGTTATTCTGTTTTTTACTTTATGAATAATTTATTCATCAATCTCTTTATCTTGTTGAATAATTGATCCAAGATATCTTAAATTTTTATTTAAGATAACTTTTTGCCCATCCAATTTAACTATATTCTCTTGTCTATTTCTAGTATTATTAAATTTAGTTCTACTTAATATAAAATCTTTAGCTTCTATGGATTGCTTTCACAACTTAAGTTTAGAGTTATTTCATCTAGATTCTCATAAGCTAAAACAATATTATCGGCAAATAATATGTACCAGAGAGGTCAATCTTGTAAATGATTAGCCACCTATGCTTTTGAGAATATATACAGTTCATGAAATTCAGTTGTAAGGCCATAACATAGTTGATAGAACAACAATACTTAGTTAATTTCATCCAACATATAATGGAGTTGCAATGGATTTGGACTTCATTTGCATGAGGAACGTAACAAATATTTCTTAATTCACCTATGCTTTTGAGAAGCTGTTGCAAAAGATGATTTTAGCAACATTCTTCCCTTTCCTCTTTATGCCTCCATGCTTCCCGAAGAATAGAATCTCAATCTCTATTAAGCACTCTCCCCGTTGGGACACTGGCATTAATGACTCTTTTCTTTCTGGGGACTTTCTTCAAAAGTCAAAAGCCAGCTTCTTTGTTGGAGAGATGATCGCCCTTGCATTGAGTTTTTAATATTTGACTATCAATGTGAAAGTGTGACATGAATCAGGTTGGACCAGTTAATATGGACTAAAATTGGCTAGGATTGATTGATCCTTATCAATAAATATAGGAATCTATTAGCTGTCATATGATAGAATAAATTACAAACTACTTGTAAATTTAGGTTATCCTCCGTTGTCTGTGCATCATGAAAATTGAGAAAATAAAAGAGTAAAGCAGGCTTCATTCTTCATAAGTACACCATGCACCAAAATTTTTATTCATATTTAATCATTTACCGAGTAAATTTGTTGGTTCTCCTTGACAAAAGAAGTAAAGACATGCACATTTTCCGATTTTTTTTCAAGTTGCCTTCCCCCTTTCACATCTTGTTGTTTTGAACTCATTGGAGACTTACATCCACTTATCTAGTTGTTACTTCTACATTTCTTTAAAATGCATCCAGGGAACTTTGATTTCTAGACCTTAATTTAAAGGACAAAAAATTTTGGAAAATGATTGTCTTATGTGAACTTTGTTTTCGTAGTGTAAGTTGCAAATCAGTTGATGTGGAAAGGATGTCATCAGAAACATTGTTGTCTTGTTAAGTGACCCTTAAACAGAACTAATAGAACAAAGAGGTTGAACACCATTTACTTTCCAAGTTTGGTGCAAGGTAACAAATCTCAACATTGCCAGAGTGTATAGTCACAGGCGTATTACACTATTTACCTAAATGCTTAGCTTTTGATGTTTCTGATTGGTACAGTCACAGGCATATGACTTTTTTTGCCTAAATGCTTAGCTGTTTAATGTGTTATATATGTTTTATGGGCATTTCATTTTCAGAAGATAGAATTTCAGGGCAAGGAAGGCAAATTCTTTTTGAGGGGAAGAAAGATAAATTCTTGTTTGTAGGATCTGTTGAGGTTCTAAACCTTACATGCCAAACGTCACTCAATGAACAAGAGCTAGCAAGTTCTTGACCAATTTTGCATTCCAGCAGTAGTCGTCGAATGATATTTGAGGTGTGCCATAATTAATTATGATGTCTTTCTATTCATGGACTTCACGTTTACTACAGAGATAGCTGACTGTGTTGGTTGATAGCTTACAGATGAAAACCTGGTCTAGTTCTGGAATTTTTAAAAATTGAGTTGGCAGTTCATTAGTTCCTTTTATTTCCAGATATGATCAACATACCTTCAATTCAGATGAGATCAGACATTATTTTGTTTTACTCGGACCATTCAATACATGAACCTGGAAATGGTGAAAAGGATATTTCCCTACCTGATATCTGGAATTGCACATAAAATTCCACTTAGATGCATAATTCAGAAGAATTCAAGATGATTACCTGTGTTGCAATGGCTTTTCTTGGCAAGTTTCTAGTCGACTTAAGATATATGACTACAGAAATATATGCCAAAGGGAAGAAATTTCACTGGCTATATTGTGAATAAGCAAGGTAGTTGTAGCTGGAATAGCTTCTTATAATCCCTATTTGGGTTGTAGATTTTGTTGTCATAATTGTTTCAGTTTAGAGTTTGTTATATCAGGAACTTTAATCAAAACACAGTTTCAAGTTGGAGAACATGATTAAATGGATGTTGTTGTCTTTAAAAGAAAATTGGAGTAGAGAAGATATACTGGCATAGGTAGGACAAAAGATATTTACTTTTGTTGGACACCCTTTTATGTCAAATATATACTCTATCTTTGATGATCAAATGTTGATCATATAAATAACTTGGCGATATTTTATTTTTTACTTCAAGGATAACTTGATCTAAGTCTGTTGATAGTTCTGTTCAAATCATTATACATAAAAAGGATTTAATTTGGTCAATATTTGTAGTCTGAACAATGGTTAGGATACCAGAGCATAATAACGGGTATTAAATTACAGAAATTACAGAATGGTCTTCAATTTTTATTCGTCATGTTTGCCCAGTAGGATGTTTGGCCTGGAATGTTATCTTTAGAAAGTGTTGTGTTGGCCTGGAATTTTTATTTGTTGTGTTAGCCTATCCTTTGTATTCCATGTTGTTCTTATGTTAATTCCTTTGATGACAGTAATTTTAAGTTGGTTATGGTGAAGAAGCATCTCACATTGAAGCTCTGACTCTAGTTGTAGAAACTTGATTTTAGATAGCAACCTTTGTATTAGACTTCTAACTGTCAATGGTTGTAGCTGATTGTACTCAATCCCAAATGGGTGTTTGATGTCTTGATAAAGATGTGATAATGAGTGCACAGAAGGAAGTAGCATACTGTGAATTTGCTGGAGATTTACTTTGGAATCAATGAACAATGGTGCATCAGGAGATTCCAAGTGCGTGGATGTCCGATAGTGCATAATAGATGATCCAAATTGCAGTTCTAAATATTTGCAAACAGGAAAGGCAACTGTGTTTGAGATGTTGGAAACAAAGGTGGTGGGTCTTAGTTCATCATAGGAGATATTATCAGACGGAAGCTACCAGTCTGGCACTTTGTGCTTAGGGAAGTTCTTCTGGTATTAGACATGTTTACAATGAAGAAAACCCTTGTAGCATAGAGTGTGACCTTATTTCCTTGACCCCTTGTTGAGTTTCCTTTTTTTTTTTTTTTTTTCTTCTCTCTCTCTCTCTCTCTCTCTCT